CCTGTCGACTCTGACTTGTGCACAGCTGCCCTGTCGACTCTGACTTGTGCACAGCTGCCCTGTCGGCTCTGACTTGTGCACAGCTGCCTGTCGTCAACTCTGACTTGTGCACAGCTGCCTGTCGGCTCGGACTTGTGCACAGCTGCCTGTCGTCGACTCTGCCTCTAGGCCTGGGCACCTTCTGCTGGCTGATTAGGAAGGCTGTTTGCAGCTCTGTTTAAAAAAAAATAGAGATTGTTGGGCTGGAAAGATGGGTTAGTAGTAGTTAAGAGCACTGGCTGCTCTTCCAAAGGACCTGGGTTCAATTCCCAGCACCCACATGGCCGCTCACAACCATCTGTAACTCTAGTTCCGGAGGATCCAATATCCTCTTATAGACATAACAGGCACCAATATAGACATAACACCAATGCACATAAAATAAAAATAAATAATTTTTTTAAACTAGAAATTTTTGTAGATGTGGTGATGCTTGCCTGTAATCCCAACACCAGCACCTGGGGACTGAGGCAGGAGGATGGTGGAATTCAAGGCCAGCCTAGGTTGCATGGCCCATGATGTCTGGGTGTGGGTCTCTGCATCTGTTCCCACCTGCTGCTTCTCTAATGATGACTGTGCAAGGCAATGATCTGGGAGTATAGCAGAATGTCATTAAGAATCATTTCATTGATTTTTATTTATGTATTTATTTATTCACCAGTCATGTTTGGTTCTACCCTAGGTCTCTGGACTATCCAGGTCTGGAAAGATAGCTTCAGTAAGTGAGAGCATTTGCTGCCCCAGTAAGAGGACCTGAGTTCAAATCCCCAGCTCTCAATTAGCAGCTGGGCATAGCTCCATGTGCTTGTAACCTCAGTGTTGGTGGCTGAAAACAGCTTGTCTGAAACTGAATTTCAGGTCCAGTGAGGCCCTGTCTCAAAAACAGTGTGGAGCACAGCAGGGCAGGACACCCTCTGTGTCCTCCCCCAGCTTCTGCATGCATGGACATGGACATGTGTGCATACATTCAAAATTATTTCATGAAAAAAGTCTCTACCTTATTTGTTTTCCTTTCTATGAATTGTGGTTTTAATTTTTGAAAACTACTTTTTGATCGTATTACAGCATTAGCTCTCATGACTCCCAGGGATAAAGCCTGCTTCCGGCATCATACATCCAGCAGTTACACCTCATTAAAAAAAGAGAGGATGTGGGCTGGAGAGATGGCTCAGCAGTTAAGAGCACTGCTGCTCTTCCAGAGGACGTGGGTTCAATCCCCAGCACTAACATGTTGGCTCATAGCCATCTGTAACTCCTGTTCCAGAGGATCTGGCACCCTGTTCCACACCAGGCACACATGTAGTGCACAGATATACATGCAGGCAAATCACCCAGACACATAAAACTTAACAAAAAAAAATGTACTTTTTAAAAAGAGGATGCATGTACATATGCTGAATACACACATATATATATAAACTGAATTGTTAATAAATATGTAATTATATATTTTATATTTATGTAGATGTTTTTATAATACATAATATAAATAAAATTTTACATAAATAAGTTTACTTATATAATATGTAAAATGCATGTATGTTAATATAAATAAAATAAGTATATAAATATTTATATAATATATATACAAAATATACATAATTTTAGAACAAATGTACAAAATAAAAAACATTGTAATGTTTTAGTTAGCATACAAATCTCATTACAGCACTGCTATACATATATATCATGGTACTTTGTTTGTATTCATACCACACCTGTCTTTCCTCCCTCTGGGTTTTCTTCCCTCCCCCAGATAACCCCCTTCTGTTTTCAGGGTGTGACCATCAGTATTCTAGAAGTATAATTTGGTACTAAGATGTTAATATATTTAAAACTACAAGTTAATGCTTATTTTTAAAGATGTGTGTGTGTGTGTACATGAGTGTAGTACCCAAGGTCAGAAAATGGCCTCAGATCCCCCAGGACACTTGTCAGATCCCCCTGGACACAAGTTCTGGACACTTGTCAGCTGCCTGACGTGGGTGCTGGAAACCAGACTCAGGTTGGGAAAACAATGCCTGCTGTCAATTGCTGGCCCTCTCTGCAGCCCCAGGGATGCCAGTTTTAAGAGCTGTAGTTTGTTTTAAAATCCAGTGCAGTGCTTACTCAGTGCCATGTGCAGGGGACCTCTGTCTCACTCTCTTTGCAAGCACTCAGCTTTGACAGAGGTCCTTTTCTGTGAAGCCATGTTAAAGAGACAGACTTGTAGGAGACAAGGATCTAGTTCTACTAGAGAACACAGCTCACTGAGGACTGGAGGCTAAACAAAGCCCATTCCTGCTCTTAGACAAACGGTGTTTCCTGGGATTCCAGACAATGGCAAGTAAGAGCCAGCAGGCAGAAGTGATTGCCACCAAGCCTGATGACCGGAGTCCTCGGCACCCACATGGCAGGAGAGAACCCATGCCTAGAAGCTGTCTTCTGACCTCCATACACAAAATAAATAAATATAATTTTTCAGAATATTTTAAAATAGTTAACAACGAGGGCTAATGAAATGTTGGCCCAGCCTATCTGATGTGACGCTTGGGATCCTTCTCCTATCATTTTGAGGTCCAGAATCTATCAGCAAGAGAGCACCTCTTATCTAGTCAGAGATTTGTCTTCCTGTGCAGCTTTATTTCTGGGCAGAGCTACACCCAGTAGCAGCTGAGGAGAGTTGTGGGAAGCATGACTGGCCAAGTCTTCCTTCTACATCAGGCACTTATCACAGGGCCCCCCCTGTTTCTGCTGTCACTGTCCAGGTCATCACGGTTCACTCAGCCCTGCAGCAAAGACAATTCCAAGTCAGAAAAGGCCACAGGAGGGATGAGAGGGCTCTAGGGATCAGTGGCCAGCCATGGCATCAGAGTAGACGTAGAACTTAAGCTGAATGGGCAAATGGCTAGGGTTTGGCAGACAGATTTGGAGGGTGCACTTGGCCCATTCAACCAGATTAGCAGAGGAGTGGATAGGAACTGAGCTGTGCTGTCTGAAGAGTTATGATCAGTGAAGTAGGAGCAGCATGGCAGGGTTGCCGGAAGGGCTAGGAGGGCCTGCTTCTTGTTCGGTGGAAAAGTGTGCCATTGGGAGCTCTGTTCACTGAGTTTGGTGGTTCCCACTGGTGGTTCATTCAGAAGGCTGGAGGCACTCAGGAGACTGAAGCAGACACAACACAGGTTCCAGGCCAGTCTGCCTAATGGTGAGCAAGTTTGAAGCCAGCGTGACCTTCATAGGGAGATCCTGACTTAAAGAGTAGGAGCAGGAGCTAGGAAAATATCTCAGTAGTTAAGAGCACTGGCTATTCTCCTAGAAGACCTGGGTTCAGTTCCCAGCATGGTAATTCACAATCTGTTGTGGAATAAAATAATTGTTTAACTATGTAAAGATGTGGTGCATTTTTTTATGCTTCATTTGTTTAACTATGTAAAGATGTGTTGCTGTTTCACCTTGCCTGCCTAAGGCACCTAATTGGTCTAATAAAAAGCTAAACAGTCAATAGCTAGACAGAGGAGGGATGGGCGAAGCTGGTGGACAGAGAGAAAAGGGGAACCAGCCAGCCAGTCAGGGGCTAGACAGCCAGACACAGAGGAAGCAGGAAAGTAGGATGGACAGTATGTAGATGAGGTAAGTGAGCCTTGGGGCAGCACATAGATGAATGGAAATGGGGTAATTTAAGTTTAAAAAAAAAGTTAACTAGAAACAAGCCTAAGCTAAGGCCAAGCATTCATAATTAATAATGCCTCCTTGTCATGATTTGGGGGCTGTCAGTCCAAGGAAGCCTGCTACAATCATCTGTAGTTCCAGGGGGTCCATCACCCTCTTCTGGCCTCTCTGGCACCAGGCATGCATGTGGTGTACATATATACATGAGGACAAAACACCCCTACACTTTTTTCTTAATTGAAGTGGCTCACATTGTAATCCTAGTACCTGGGAGGTAGAAGCAGAAAGATCAGGAGTTCAAGATCATCCTCAGGTACTAGTGAGTTCTAAACTACCCTGGGCACTGTCTCAAAACAAAAATCAAATGAAGCTGAGTTTGAAATGGAAAGGAACCAACACTGAATACTTGGTGGGCTGGGTATCTGATTGTGGTAGTTTAAATGGAAATGGCCCCATAGGGAGTGGCACTATTAGGAGGTGTGGCCTTGCTGGAGGAGGTGTGTCACTATGGGGGCAGGCTTTGAGGTCTCAGAAGCTCAAGCCTGGCCAGTGTGACACTGTCACTTCCTGCTGCCTTTGGATCCTGATGTAGAACTCTCAGCTGCCTCTCTGGCCTCATGTCTGCCTGCATGCCACTGTGCCTCCCACCATGAAGATAATAGACTAAGCAGCTGAACTGTAAGCCAACCCCAACTGAATGTTTTCCTTTATAAGAATTGCCATGGTCATGGTGTCTC